ACATACACAAAAACAACGTGTAACTCGCGGGGTCTGACCGTCAAACACTGGCAAAGAGCAGGCTAAAGGTAGAAGGACTAGAAAACCAACGAAAGGTTTGCTTGGTCCCCCGAGGTTCGAAAGGCACTGTCAAAAGAAGCTCAAAGGAGCTCGAGGCCACTTCCCCGTTGTTCCCTTTAAAGGAAACAGCACTGAAAACCCGGTCAAAACTTGAACGATTACAGCGAAAGCATGAAGGTATCAAGCAACAGGCGGGGCCTCAGAGTGAAATGAAGATCCCCCCTCGCATGCAAAGGCATCGAACAATGCTCAAAACATCCCCCTGAAGCAACCTGAACCAGAAGGCGGATCTCATGTGGATTTCCCCTGCTCGTTTGGCGGGGTTGTGGGTTGTGTACCTGCCGGTCAGAAACAAGGGGCCAGGGCAGGGTCGAACACGGACTGGGGACACTTAGAAGACATACAACTCTGAGTCGGCAGACAGCGACAGGGACTTGCCTTGCATTGTGTATCCCCCGAGCAAGAAACACAACCACTCAAGCAACCAGAACCGAAAAAGGATCCCCGAGACCATCTCAAGCAACCTGAAGACTGAAGACTTGGCAAGGCCGGTCCCCCTGTGAGTGAAAGTGCCTTTCCGCGGGTTGGTTGCTGCTGTTCTGGTAGGAGAAGGAGCATCTCAAAAAGTAAACATAGCAACCGACATGGCCCCACATACGTGAACCTGGGGCTCTCTCCTCTCCCCCTAACAGAATTGCAAGTTCCCCGCTCAGCATCGGTTTCACTGCCCCGTCGTGGACGTGTTCCGCGAGCATGCGGCAATCGGAAGCCGGTTCACTAGGAGAGTGAGATTCCCCCACCATCTTGTTCCATGTCGGCTTGCCTTTGCGAGCGTGCAGGCCAGCCCAGACTTGCTCGTGCACTGTCCCCCAAACCGTGGTGTCTGTCTTGAAGCCACCACTCGTTCGAGCCATGCGCAGAGTCCTGATGGGCGGCGGTCGTCTCTCCTTGTCCCCCAGTCGGGGCATCCTCGTCTCGGTCTCCCCCGATAGGCAGTGGTGCTACCTGCATTGTCTCCAGTTTCCTGGCCATGTAGGATCGCCGACACCATGTGAAGCAGGTTGAGCAAGTCAGCTTGCAGAGCCAGTTGCTCCTCTCCCCCCCACTCGGAGAAGGATGCAGCGATTTGCTCAAAGATTGTTGTTGTCGAAGGAGCTGCAGGCTGGCCCACGGTCGGCACACCCTCGGTTAGCTCAAAGAGCCACCTGAGACTATCCCCGATATTCAGGAGGCTGGCCACACCTCCCCTTATTGCTTCAAGGACTTCTCGTAGCGCTGCCTGGCACGTTCGTCTCGCTCAGGGTTTCCCCCGTAACTCTTTGACAATGGCATCCAGGCATGGCGCGACATCCGCTATTTCCACGGTCGTCCCCCTCATGGCCAGCTGTGTTCTTGCCAGGTCCGACAGATGGCCTCCCGCACTGTCAAAGTCCTGCGCATCCGCTTGAGAGGTCTCGGTCCCCCTATTCCATGGCTTGAACCTATGAGCTGTTGCACGCACATGTCGACATGACGTTCTGCTTCACTATCCATCAGCAGGTCAGCTTTGTCCCCCATTCCGGAGGGTGCTCGGCCAGCCGACGTATGGCCAGGATATGTGGCTCGACTTTCTGCTGTTGCGGTGCGGGCTCTGTGGACAAACCTCCACCCCGCCTCCCCCCTGGGAGCTGTAGCGTGGTGCTGTTGGTTGCGGGGAGTGTTGGGCGTGTCGAGGATGTTAATGGGGGCGGCGGGTGGTGCAGCTGATGTCGCTGTCAGAGCAACCGTGCTGGGTTGTGCTGGCGCGTGTACCAGGGCTGCCTCCGTCTCTTTCTCTCTCTGTTGCTCTTGCTTGCTTGCTGACGGCATCGCGAGGTCAGTCGTAGCTAGCCACCGCGTAAAGCGTTGCCGTCCTCTGCCCACGTACACTCCGTCACATGCTATCGTGGGCAGCATCCGTGCCCCACTGTGTTGCGCACCTGCTGCTGCCGGAGCTGGCTGCAGCGTTGGTTTCCCCGCTCGCGGGGCCGCGTGGGTGCTGCAGGTTGTTCTGTGCGATGGTCTACTGGAGCAAGGTTGTTTCGTTGTTGTGTCTGTGCGGGTGGGCCAGGCGCCGCGCATGGAAGGTGTACGTGCTGCCGGACCGTCCCCCATCGGGGAGCGCTCTGAGCGAAAGGGCTGTCTGGCTGGGCAGTGGGACTTCCGGGCGTAATGGCACGTGGCTGACCTCCATCATGTTGGCTCCCGATCGGCTTTGGATCGCCTGTGTGTCCCCGTGAGGGATGTGAGCGCTGCCAGCAAATGTCGCAGAGCAATAAGCCCCTCAATGGGGAGGACTGCTTTCACGTAGCGACCTGGAACGCGGGTGGCCTGACCGCAGAAAGCACCCTAGACCTGCTGCGTGCGTTCGGGGAGCCAAACACCCCCTTTGCATGTTGCATGTTGTCCTGCTTCAGGAGATAATCACCGACCCCGGGAAATCTGTAAGGAAGCCGGAGGCTGGAAGCTCATCTATACGGCAAGACAGAGGGAGAGTTCCGAGGAGAAGGCGTTGCCTTCCGAACCGACATGGCAACACGCGCAGACCAACATCATGACCGTCAGGGTTAGCCGATCCTCCCATTGCACGCACGAGCACACTGGGGGGGGGTCCTCAGCAGACACATACCACACCACAGCACAATCCCATATGTGGAAGCACTGCTCCACGACTGGGGGAAATGCCCAGCTATGCTGAAATTACAGTTTTTTGATGTCAAATGGGCATGGATGCCAACGAACACTTCCGAGACGCCGCCAGCACCAACGCAGCCGCCCAAGCGCACACCGGCAGGGGGACACACGGCCTCCGCATGCCGCTCCAAGCATCGGACTGCACAACCTTCCACGAACCCAGTGACCTCACGGACACGGACGAGCAGACCGGCCTCAACCGCATCCAGGTGAGCCGTGTCCAGGCGGGGGACCACAGAGATATCGCTGGATCGGACCATGAGCCGATCATTGCAGAGCTGCTGGGACCGTGCGCGCGCCCACCGCCGTCCAAGGCAAAATGGGCTCGAGCATTTCGCGAAAATTACGAGAGCATCCGGGCCCGCCCCAACTTCGTAGGGATGTGCTGCAGTCTTTGCTTTTGCTTGCTTCTTTAACGCTCCAAGACAAGAAGAGAGTGCCCCCCAAGTTAGTCGTGACAAAACAAGAGAGCCCCTTTCCAGCTTAGAGCTCTCTTTTACCTCTTGGTAGTCGCCCATCTTCTTCGAGGAGCTCTTCCGCGTCTTAGAGAAGTGGCAGGCCAGTCGAGCTCCCCCATAGTGGTGGCTTCCATGGCGCTGCGGACCGCGTTCTGAGCCTCAAGAATCTCCTCTCTCTCTTTCTCTCTCTCTCTCTCTCTCTCTCTCTCTCTCCCTCCTCTCTTCTTCTACACAGCCGAAGGAAAGCAGGCGGACCCCTGCCCCCCCTACGCGCGCACGCGCACTGGCGTTCCAGGTCTGTCTGTTTCTACACTTCGAGATGAGGCTGTTGGGTCATAGAACTGCCTAATAACCCCCCGGCCTCATCTCTAAGGCTGAAACCTGGTCTGGACTCTAAGTCGCAGCTTGTTGCTGCTTTGGCCACCGTGCGGTTACTGAAACTGCTCTGTCCCCTAAACAACACTGTACCAAGAAGTCCCCCAAACAGCATGGCAACAGTAGCACCCAGCGACATGCCCCCCTGCAGCTTTAGCCCTGTGCGAAAAACGTGAGACTGCTCTCTGAGGCCCCGGCATCACTAATCACAAACTCATGCAAGCATTGCACAACATGAACTGCACAACAACTTTGAACTAAGCCCACGACGTCACCCCTACTAGCATTCTTTTGTGGCCTCCTACACTTACTCCTGCAGCTGGCACTCGGTGGACCTTCTGGGGCCTGAACAACACTGCACGAGTACATATGCACAGACCATATCCGACCCCCAAAGCAGCGGCCCACCTCTCATCATCTCTCTCTCTCTCTCTCTCTCTCTTTCTGTATATAATTCTCTGTGCCGCGCCATCCTCGACGGTCTCGCTTATCAACGGCCCGCATTCCCGCGCTTCGTGGCGTGACAACGTGAGGCATCTCTGGATATTGTGTTGCCGTCCGAAATGCTACGGGCAAAATGCTGAGGGGCGAGCTGGGCTTGAATTTTGCCATGAAAAAACCAATCGACATAGGCCTACGTCCACGGGCTAAGTCACACTAGCCTGACCTCGGGAGAAGAACTTGATCGCCTGGACAAAGTCCGCTTTATTGGCCTGCGAGATCCGCAAGTCCTCTGCAAGGAGGGCGCCACCTGAAGTACGTAATCTCTCCAGCCATGTCAACATGGACTTAGGAAGTTCGCGTCCGCTGAGAAGTCTGCGTGGCCAAGCGAGGTCCCCGAAGACTTCAGCGATATCCTGCTGTCCGGGAGTCGCTGAGTTTGCATGGAACCACGTTTTCTGGTGTTTTGCTGGATCGATCACAGAGAAATCGCAACAGCCACAAGATGGTGCAGGCCTGGGGCTGCTTCCGAAGCTGCAGCATGCTGCAGCGACAGTCACATGCAGTTTCTCGGTGATGCGGCAAGGAAAAGACACGACAGTGGTGGGAATGAGCGAAAGATTCAGACGACGGAGATGAGGGGAGCACGGCGACCAAATCACAAAAATCCCGAACCGCAACGCAAACCAGTAAACGAAACTGGGCCCTTTGTTTCGACTCACACACTCGCAAAGCAGGCCCTTTGTTTAAGGTTGAGCTTGAAGATGGCGGGGCAACGTCAGCTGCCTCACTACTGGATGCGCTCCCGTGGGTTTGCCTGTGCCAGCCAGCTTGCTCAGCTGAACTGTTAAGTTAGGCTGGTGTGGTAGATGCTTCAAGCACCCTCGAGACGGGACGTGCGCGTGCTGTCTGTCTGTCTGTCGTGCTGCACTTCTTGATTGCAGTGCCCCTGCTAAGAATGCAATGGGCTACCACCGGGCCCCATCCGCACGTCTGCAGCTTCCACCAGCAGGACACAGTACGAAAGAATCCGCAACGTGGACCCGGAGGACGATAAGCAAAGCTTAGAAGCAGAATTCGAACGCGACCCAAGGCAACGAGCGGAAAGCAAAGAAAGAAAAACTAACAACAGACAACTCCTCAAAACGTGGGGCTCCAAGGAAAACAAGCACAGTCCTGGCGAATGACTGGGTTTGCTAAGACGAACATCAAGAAAGCGAGTCCTGGCCCGGGTACTCGAGAATCTGGCGCAGACTCCTCAGTCATCGCCATGTGAAGCTCAAGGGTTGAAGCTTCTGCTTCGTTCACGTGTGGGTCCAATGAGCGACATACCGAGCGCTAGGCTTCGCAGTGTTCGGGCACACGGCCCCAATGTCCTGCACAGACTGGCCCAGCCAGTTCGCTTGCAGTCGCCGGCAAAGCCGACACAAATAACGGAATGTAAGCAGCGGCTCAAAGCGATGCCTCAAGTCTCAGCTTCTTCGCGCAAGGCGACTCTAGCTCCTGCAGCTGTATTCACCCCCACCGTTGTGCCAGCTCCAGTTTCTGTTGTGCGAAGCCACAACGCAACACACGCAGCCCGAGCATGGTGTCTCCTCGAGTAGCCGATCATAAAGCACCTTGGCACCCAAACATGACTTCTCTAGCACGTGCCAACTGCTACAGACATGCTGATGTGTGGGGCAACACTGACCTGCCGCCCTCGTGCCGAAGCTTGCATTAAGGCAAGCACACGAGGGAAAATGTTCGGGACGTGAATATGGTTCAGCACAGCCTTGCGAACAAGGATAACTAAATTCATGCCTGGGCATTCTGCCATCCCTACACGCAGCCCTGCCTGACCCAGCAAGATGCCATAGGATCGGAAAAAGTCTTCCGAGCCAACGGCCCGCTCGTTCAACCAATACCTCACAAGCACCATTCGATCCTCATTATTCCTGAACCGTTATTAGTGGGGTTCGTCCACAATGTAAACATAATAACATACTCCATACCCATACCCTGGTGAATGATATCCTACCAGATAGTACCAGTAGTTTAAAGATTCACTACTTGATCGAAGCAAGCAACGAAGTTCGCCGAGTTTCCGTTCCAGAAACACAACATCGACAGCTCACTGCAAAAATCAGCTCCAGGCGAGTGCCATGTCAAGCACAACATCGCCCATCAGTGAAAACATGAAAGCAGATTATGATCCAAGCTTTGGACACTACCGTCGAGATGTGGCAATTGCCACGACTTGACCTTGAACCGGTACTAGGTGGTGAGGCTGTAAATAACAACATCCTTTCAATCGGTGAGAATTCTGGCGAAGACGCTGGCTCCAAAGCACACAAAACACGCGGTCCGGGGCTGTTGAATTCGTACGTAGTACGTATGGAAGTCTCATAGGTTGCAGCTCCGCTGATGCTGGCACTGGTTCACACACGCTATGTTCAAAAGCAAGCTACAAACGCCATAAAATGTGACAGTGCAGACATGCAACTTGACGAGCTGATGATGGGCTCAACAGACATGTGGAAAAAGGCAAAACACGCGAGATGGTACGAGCAGGTAGCACTCTGAATGCCAGCAGCTTGGGCCTTCAAGTTCGAAATTTGGGAAATGCTCCAAAGTTTCAGATTGCTCAAACGGTCAAGTAATCTCCCATTTTTGCAGGACATCATACAGCTGGGAAAGCAGACGGCAAAACTTCGCTGACGTGGCGTGAACACGGCCTAGAAAATGCGGTTCTCCTGCAAATCTTCGAGCCCCTTTCGGAAACCCAAACCCACTCAAAAACGGTGTTTTTGGAATTTGCGGCAAAGATTTTATTTTCTTCGCCTTTAACACCTGTAAAGCGATTTGGCATGGTTTCTCCATCTTTCGTGTTTGAAAACTGTTTGATTTTATTTTTCGACTTCCACGCTACAGAGTTACTCAAGCTCGATACCGAAGGGTTCTGCAGAAACTGGAAACTTCGCACGAATGGAAGTGGCTGACCAAGGCAAAGCCTCAACTGGAAGCTCTCGGAGCTACAAAAAAACAGAACTGAATCAGACTCAAGCCATTCAGGCTACCATCCGAGCGCACCAAGTCCAAACCATCTTCCATTAAATAGTGAGCCCAGGTTTCGGAAACGCACATCAAGCCACACATTCCAAACTGAGAGGATCCAGAATCCTGGACTCGTTGTCTTTGTGCAAATACATGTCGACACGACATTCATGCATGCACACACAGACACACCTACATGTGTCAAAAACAACAAACGGTTTGATAACCCGCCAGTCTTCATTCTTTCACTCGACTCGGAAGGGCTTGAAGATCTCGTTTGTCAAAGCGTATTAAAAAATAGCCTCAGATAACATGAATGATCCTGCTACTCGAGTTGATCTCCGTTCTCGCCCAAACAACTCGACCGAATAACAAAGCCTATGTGGGTGCACAGCAAAGGCGCACGCAAATGTAAGTAGGTATAGATGGGTGGATGGATACATGCATGATGCATAGATGCACGTATTTGTGAACGAGTGAATGAAGGAATGAATGAATGAATCAATGAGTCAATCTGTACGTACTTTGGTGCAACGGTCGAGCCTCCGATTGTCATTTAGACGTCTTTGTGATACCATTATAAGTAATAGGCTCATTGATAAGACCTCGTTGATACGGTTTAACCACCCATAGATTTGATTTGGTGGTCGAATAAGCCTACAATGGATTGAACATTGTTTGCAGGGAAATGTATACATGCGCCTTGGTTTGCCAATGATCGTACTTGACAACGCTCCTAGAGTCTGTTCCTAGGAACAAATTTTCTGGGCCACTCACACTTGGACGATGCAAGGGACAAGCTGTCGATGGCATATAGGACATACCAGGACAAAGCAGTTAGTAGCACTCCCCGACCAAATCTTGCTTAAAGGCACCTGCAATCACACATGCATACATAAAGCACTTGCGTACTTACATAGTTACTTCGGTACATGTTTATTTACACATGTACAGGCATGCATACGTACATACATGCATTTGTTTGGCACTCGCGCTCGACAAAGTCAGGAGGATCCCAGAAGACGACAATCAAGCCAACAGAGTTACCTTGAACTCCCACAAGGTTCACGAACACTTCAACGACTTAGCAGTGCGTGGTGTGCAGTGCAAGACCAGAATACCAGGGCATCATTCGACACCCCTACAGCGAAACTCCCATGACAAAAAGCTCCATCAGAGGCTCTATCGGTAGGGACATGTACAAGTACATAGTCTAGCATATTTCACACTTCAGACTCAGAGGACGTGCTCGGGTCCGCTGCGCCGTCCGCACTCACTTGCCGGCGAGACTACTGTCGACCTCTGCGCCCGACCAACATGTCGTCTGTGACGAGGACGAGGCAAGTTTCACGCTTGGCTTGACAACGACCACCCCCCCCAGGCCACAGTCAAAGTCCGTCAAGACAGTTCAAGCGGTGGCCACAGGAGCACATACATACATGCACACCCACACATATACATACGTACAGGCAAAATAATGCAAATCTACCCCACATACATACATACATACATACATACATACATACAGACAGACAGACAGACAGACAGACACACATAATCATACATGCGTCCATACATTTTGGCACTCGTGCTCGACGTTGTCAGGCTAGGATTCCAGTAGACCACAGCTAAACCAACAGAGGTCATGCATACAGACATACATTGGGATACCTACACACATACACATCTACATACATGTCATACATAACATGCATATCAGACATACATATGTACATACATGCAGGCACCAAGATCATGTGCACAGCCAAGGTTGATTTCCCCTGCTTCACTCTTGTTCCTTCCTTGTCTCTTCTTCCATCCATGTTTCGGGAGCCTAGCCGAGTCTTTTCGACACAAGACACAAGACTATGAAATGTTGTCCATTCTGCTTGATCCTCTCATGGGTTTGCTGGCAGAATGTCCTCAGCAACCCAACTGCAACCCATATCACGCGAATCGCCACTAGCTGGGCCCCCGCACGTTCGCGACCTTAGGTTTATGTTGCTTCAGCGGAAGCCGTTCATCGACATTTTCTCACGGTGCAGTTCTCAATTGTCACGCTGTCATTCCCCAAGAAACTCTAAGAGAACTGCTGCTCGTCATAGACGAAGAGACGCTCATTGTTGTGCCAAACGTCCAGGAAACTGCGTAATGCAACCTCTGAAACATCTTCGCATGCCACAACATGCCGTTCCCAAGCGCTGGGCAGCGCCCAGCATAACACACGGCTCTTGAACTGCGCAAAAACCTGGAAGAATTCCTTCGTCACACCAGGGCCACCTGCCTGCAGATGGTACAGCCGATTCACAGAAGCGATTTTCTGAAACGGACAGCTGCGAGGCCTCTTCGTCTTGGAAGCACACCCTCAACCTCTGCATTGGCAGATTGGGCCAAAGAATCTACAAACCCGCACGCATCACGCACACGTGTGTTTTTGGCTCCCGCATGGCATCATCCGCAGATTCTGCATGGCAAGTAACAGTTGCGCTACGGTTGACTGGATTCCATAACTTCCAGGCCTATATACCCCACCCGTGCGTGTGTGTACATATATATTTCTACCTCTGTATATATATATATATATATCTATCTATCTATCTATCTATCTACAGCTACATCTAAAATGTACATGGATACATCCATCGTCGTCTTCTTTTTTTGGTCCCATCTCTGTTCCCTGTTCTTCTTTCGCGAGGCTAGGGGTCCTCGAGGCGGCCCCATGCTGCTACACGCCCAGCCTAAAGAGTCGAAAGCTTCTGGCGGCCTCTTGCTATTTCTTGCAACTTGTGTCACACACCAGCTTATTTGGCGCAGAACCTTAAACCTGGGGCCGCTTAACACGGTTTATGGTTACTATAGCCGCACCATCCCGGGCAACAGACCACATGTCGAGTGCAGATCGGCGGCGTCGGTCCTTGCCGTCACTTTCCTCGTCATTGGGGCTTGCGGGGAATGGCTATGTCGGAGTAGTACGGCCCCGTCTTCTCGCTCCCCATTGTTTTAGCTATCCACCAACTCGACGTCTTCTCCCCGTGTTCCGCCGTCCACTTGGCGAGGTAGTTCATGGCTTTGTTGGCTTCAGCGAGCACATCCCCGGTGAGGAAAGAAAGGAGACGGCGTAGGTGCCACTTTGTCCTGCAAACTTGGGCCGCTTGTGGTGGATCTCTGTCTCCCTTGTTCTGGGACAACCACGTCTGCGGGGTGAATGTCTTCAGCTGCTCCTTGGTGGGTGTTGTTGATGCCGACTAGTACGTTGACCCCGGTGGCCCCCACTGGCGCTGTCATAGCGTCATCGTCTACTTCTCAGCGGCGGTGGTGCGTGCCCCCCCCCCCCCTTCTTGCACTGGCTCCAGGAGCTCCGCTCGCCCCTTGTCGGGGCATCCCCCTGCCTGGGCCTGTTCGTCCATATGACCGCAACCAACGCAGCGATTTCGAAAGCATTCGGTGTGGGAAGCGCGAACCTCCCCCCCGAGATGCTCCCCCCTGGTCTGTCCAGCCTTGCGGACGCCAGGTGGGAGAAAACTCCAGAGTGGCCGGCCAGGTGGTAGTCGCCCCCGCGGACCACCCAAGTGCTTCTCTTTGGTGCTCTGTAAGTCTGAGGGCGTGACGGCTGTCGCAGATCCGCATCTTTGAGGCTTTCGCAGAACCGCTCCTCACAAGTTGAATTCTTGGCGAGCTGCACATTGCACAGAGGAGAAGCCCAAGCTCACGACGATAACGGCATGAACGAGTCGCTGTGGCCTCGGATGCTTGGAATGCAGGAGCCGACTCTATCACAAGTCTCGAGTAAACTCGAGTAAAACCAGATTATCATGTACTGCCGTCATCTGCCAGTCATACACGTGGTGAAATTAAGGCTTGCACTCACGAGGAACCTCAGACAAGTGGCAACAAGCGGAAACACGTGGGATCAGTCCACGGCTGCCTCCAGGTGCAAAGGCACGATTCGCCCCTGCACTTGTATAGATATCTCGGTGGTCAACCGAATCACTTGGGCATCCGCATGCATTTGAGGCTTTTTATTCAATAGGTGCTTTGTGACGCAGGGCCTGCATCTGCTCCCATACGTCGCAAAGCAAGCAAACCTTCGGAAGTGCAGGATGGCTTGCGGCTGTGGTATTGGACTGACCGACAGGAATCTTCCGAGAGCGGCGCCCGCCGGAAGTTGACCGGCACTAAGTTACTATGCGTCAGGAAGGAGCCTGCAAGCACACAACAGCTGAACTACAGCACTCTGTTGCAACGCATTGTCGGACGGCTGCATGGAGCTGGGGATCAAGCAAAAGTCGTTCGTGATTTTAAACCTTCGCACGTCCAGCACTTTCGGCACCTGGAGTCGCCAACCATAGGCAAGACAATCGTCCGTGTTCGACGGAGGACGCCCGCAGCAGGGCCAGGCACCGTGGCACCGGGGTGCTTCCGCCACCGCTGAAACTCCGAGAGCGGCTCGCACTTGTTGATGCCTCCCATGCGATGTCACCAGGCCCAGAGGCTCAGACATCCTTAACCCGCGGCTTCAAGAACGGCAAGTAATTAGCGGATGATTTTCCTTACCACTTCGACTTCGACGGGACTGTCACAGCAATGCTGGCATCCGTGCTTCAAAGATTCAAACTTCCAGTATTTTTCCCACGCAAAACACAGCGGGCCCTAATACTGTCTCTAGGCTGTAGCACTGCTCCCCCAGCTTGCTCTTCTAACTCTGATAGGTTTGATACTGTTTGCTGCTGCATGCTCTGCTGCCGCCATAACCCTTCTTAAGAGTTGTTAGCAACGGCTTACATACTTCTTCAGTCCGAATATGCGAACTAACTAGTTCTATTCGAGTCGACTGGTTGATCTATTGATTCCTACTCCAAGCTGTGGTGAAAGACTGTGGCATGTCGTGCAAGACCGAAACACAGAAACAAAACTGAGAGCAACACTTTTCAACACTGCAGTTCCACCGCCATGTCTTGCCACGAAACTGCAACCCAACGCACGATACACGGATGTAAGGGGCCGAAATCTACAGGCAACTGCGGAAGTCATGCCTTGGTTGTGCCCGGACGGCCTTTCCCCATGTAAGCGCATGATTCAAGAAGTCATGACAAGTCACGCCCGGGGCCCTTTCCCCCATGGAAGATCATGTAAGCGCATGCATCAAAGGCACGAAGGAGTCATGAATTGTCAACTTTAAACGTGCAGCGCTCACATCGGCAGTGCATTTTTCCTAAGACAGTCCTGCGCTACAGCTCCAGATCGGCATGACAGCGAGAGTTGCGTCAATATCAGCACGGAAGGCCTTTCCGCATGTAAGCGCTGATTTAAATGGTGTCAGGAGTGAGGCAAAAAGTACTCCTACGCGACTAAGTCCTTACATGTCGCGTTTTTTGATGCTTCCCTCATCTGCACGCACGCAACGAGCGCGGTCGCTGCAAAGTCCTTGCATTTGCCGTTCCCGCAAGGGCACACCTCCGGCACACCATCTCCCAGGAGTGTACAACTCATCTGAAAACCTGCGTGCTGCTGTTCGCCTTTGCAGCGTTCTGCAAGTGCGCACCTCCAGAAACAGGTGAAGAACGGACCCGAAAATGTATCTTGATGTTCTATGGGTCCCAGGGCCTCCCGTACACTCCCAAACCCGCGTACCGAGCGTAGATCCCAACCCACGTACTGCACATAGAAAATCGCACTTGAGCATCGTCTAGACTCTAGACTTCCACTTCGGTCGGCAGACATGCTGGGCCCAGTAGCTACCTAAGATTAAACTCTCGCAGCGATTGTCCCGCGAGGATCCACATGTTTAACTGTGTACGCTCCCCAGACGACAAGGCACGCGAAGACTCCCGACCCGAAGGCAAAGCACAACACAACACTTAAGACAAATGTCACGCAAGCCCATGTCTGTGAGGGCTTCGGGACGGACGTGCAAATCCTACCGATGCTGCGAGGCAATCGCCGGAATCCGAAACTTCAAACCGCTCTTTCGTAGAAGCCCCCAAGGACATGGGCCAATTCCAACAAACGCAAGACGAGAGGGTGGTTGAAGCCTTTGACAAGTATGATCGACTCGAATGGAGAACTGGGTGCCAATGGCAGCCAGTAGCCCATACTGCGTACGTGCGGGAGATGGTCAAGCGGCTGCACGGGAAGCGTATGTTTTGGAACCACGTGTATGAGCAAAGACTCGGTCGCACCATCAAGGACAAAGCGCTCGTAGTCGACCTAGGGTCTTCACTATCAACAAGCTCTCTCTGGCAGGAACACGGAGCGTGACTTGCCCTGCGTGGCTCTCAGGGCGACACCTTTGGACCACGACTGCTCTGCTCCTCCAGCCTCCTTCACCGAGCACTCAACTCATCACGGTTCTGTTGAAACGTCGCCTCCGCAATACCTTACTACGGCATGATCCTGACCTTGTCTTGCATGGCAACTCATTGGTGCTGTACAGGAATTGCAGCCAACCTGCCGGAAACAAGTCAGTGACCGAAGCCCAAGGATCCTTTGGCGCAAGCGAGGTTTGGCCTACTGCGTGCCAGAATCGCTCGTCTGACTGGATGTCCTTGACAAGCTTCTGGGGCATTCGCATTTTTTGCCTGTCTTGGCTCCTCATGACATCCTCAAAACGTTGAAGGAACCTTTCGAACTGAACATCACAAACTCCCCAAAACGGATGTCCTTGACATCTTGAACCTGGCAACCGCCGAAACAACTCATCAGTAGAGCTCTCCCTGCGGCACTAGACTAAAGCTGTGAATACTGTCAGTATCGTTCTGCTCATCGGCAATCACACGACATGAAACAGAGTTGAATAGAGCCGGCTTAAGCAAGTGAGTCGCGCATGCACGACTCTGGCATTGACTACGTCGACGGCAGCCTCAGCCACGATGATGCGCAACGGCTGCACGGATGCATGCGACTGAAGCAGTCTTCATGTTCCAACTTCGTATGCCAGGCCACCTGTGCCAGCTTCTCGAAGAGGACGGTCGGCCATGAGAATGCTAACTCATGGGCCAACCTGCAAGTATGCGACGTCAGACCGTGTTTCCAAGTCTCTTTGGAGTTGCTGAAAGCACAGAAATCAAAATTCAGAGCTTGCCTTCGCCGATCCGCCGCGTTCAGATGCAATACGTGCCATCCTGCAAGAGCAAATTCAAGCAGGGCCGCCCCTGTGCACTGAACAGCATAAACTGAAAGCTGGTGCAAGGAAACAACCAGGAAATCACAGATTGCTGTTGCCCTTGCGTCCTATTCGTTCGGTTATGTCGATGACCCAGAACAACCTCCTTGACCTTGGAATAGCAGCATGAAGGCGGACTCGACCGACAGTAGCGCACCGTGGATACCCAGATGCTATCGCCAAAAGATTCGCACCAATTCGCAGCGCAACGACCACTCTGACTCTGGGTTGCATGCAAGTTCTCATCGTTGACTTCGTCGACCTCCGCCTCCGGATGCCAGAACCCGCGGGCACGATACTACTATACTCACTGAGTACTCAGTATGCCGCATGCGAAAGGGAGTAGCATCTCAGGTCCAAGCCATGAAGGCATCCAGCAACTCTCTGGATCTTGTGTGACAATCCTGGCTATCGAAGTACTTTGTTGCTCTCCGGTACGAGTATTCGCCGTGGCTTTCTCTGTGCCGACAAGGCCTGGCAAAAGTCGATGTCACAATTCTCTGAGCAGTGGTAGTAGAAGCGATCGGTGATACCTGCCGTCTGACTGTTTGAGGAGCAGATCGTGCAACATGCATACTGGTTTAAATAGCAGTGGTTAAGAGCCTGAAAGACTTCAAGCTGTGCTCCAAAGCTTATCAGGCTCAGAGACACTGCCGCAAGCTTAATTCTGGGCCGCTAAAAGCGTCGAGGCTTACGAGTGCCGCAATTGTCGCAAATCTTCTTCGTGTTGAAGACCTTTCTGATCAAGCTTGTGGTGCTCGATTCGGCTCTTCAACGTTGTCATCACTGCAGACTGAGGGCCCCACGGGGCGCCATCGTGAGGTCCCCAAATGCACATTCATGGTGTCTGCCGAGCACAAAGTGGAAGTCTTACATCACTGCTGCATGTGCTTACATGACAACGGGCAGCGCACTGTCACCTTCTGCAGCCTCTTGTCTCTCCATTTTGTGAGGGTGGGGGATGATGGCGACCTGTGCCACGTGGGCAAAGGATCTCCATCGCATCAGTTGGAGATAACAAAAAAGAAGGCAACAACCAAACGACGTCTCAGCGAGCTGTGCCTCGTTCTGATCTCTCGGCAAGGCATTCGTCAAGAGAGGGAGAATGGCCGACAAGAGCGCCTGGCACTTGCACTGGCACCCAGTTTCACCTTCAAAAAACCCTGTCAGAGGCCCCCGAATTAACAGAGCTCTGGCGGGCAGGGAAGAAATCAGCTAAGCTTTAGTCACTGTCCTGCGGCATGACTCACCCCAAACATGCAAACGACCACCACCTCTGAGCGTTGCGGCAAAACAAAAACAAAACATGTGAGTCGATCTTGAAAGTACGTCCCCCCGTGAAGTCCGTGTTCACCTGAGTCCGGTCCAGGTAAGCTTCCAGGAGAGCAGTATGGCCACGACAGACTTCGAATGACATGGCGTTGGCGATAAGGCAGCCCAACCGGCAACGCTGTGAAGATCCACGGAAAGCCCTGCCATGCCCTGCCCGACCTAGACATGATTTGCCCAGGACCCACGAAAGCTACAGGCGATGAGGAAGGCCGAGAAGGAGAAGTCGCGAGAGCAATCTTTTCGCCCGTTGCGTGCACACGGGATGTTGTCCACCTGCACATCTCCTCAACACTGGGTCCTCCCCCTTTCCGGAATGCAGTCCTCGATCATGGTAGGGGTCGGGGCCTCCTGCCTGAAGGCGGGATCACCCCAACACATTGACATGCCTGTAAGGTTTGCTTCATCAAACTCAATCTCTGCCAAACCTGCCGCAACCTGATGAAGAGCTAGTAAGCTAGTATCCGTGAACACCTTGCTGCAATCCTCTCCTACCAAAATACCCACAACCTGATACCGGCGGTACAGCCGCGGCCTTAACAGATAACGAAGGAAGCACCTCAGTGCATACTAATCCTTGCAGGTATTGGGATTCTGCTGACCTTGGCCCAATATGGAGGCCGCACTCCCTTCTCTCTCGATTGACACAACTTCGGCGGGGCGTGATTCATCAAACCAACCACATCGAGTCAGCTGCAGCCATAACAACTCCGGTTCCATGCCGAGGCGGCGGACAACCACGTAATTGAAGGCGTTGACAGTTCCTCAGAGTTCCATTCTCATGCATGTGAGGTGGAGCAACAGACGATGACATGGGAGATCTGAAGTCAAGATGTGGCTCGTCATCAACATCCATGTCCTCGACATCTAACATTTCTGCCGCATCTTCTTTGGGCTCCTCGCATGGAACCGCATGATGAGGCACAACATTATGACCCCCGCCACCTCGGTGCTCCCTGTGCCAGATGAGGACTCTTTGTCTGGATCTGCGGGGCGTGTGCGGTGGGCTGTCTGTGTTCACACTGCAGCGTACTATCAAAAAAATATTCTCGCTGCTGCTCGCCAACATCTCGTGCCTCCGGACTCATGAACATCCATATCAGCTTCCTGCACTCAGCAGAGTCGCACTTTCACTTGATCGACTTGAAGCTCCACCGCATGAACTCCGAGCACCTCGTTTTTGGCGTCGGATTCCGAGAAGTCGGACTGTGCGAATGGTCGCCTAGCAGAGGAAGGATGCGGCCACATTGCCTTCGGGCTAGGATTTTAAATTTCTCTATCAATGCAACTCCTGCGGAACCCTGTTGCGCAAGCCTGGGAAGTATCGGCATGACCTCTGCCTGCAATGCAAGTCTGCAAAAGTCTTCGAGAGTCTGCGCTGGCTGCAGCTACATCCTCAGCACATCGGGAAAGCCTCATGCCCTTCGACCAGCCACAGTTTCTCCCAAAGCAAACGGTGACTAATTCACCTCCCTCCCACACAGCATAAAACATGGCGCCATCACGGCAGCTCCTCTTAAAAGGTCTGCTAGTTGCGCAAACCACGGCGAAGACCCCTGGCTCTCCACACTCTCATTGCATAGCGATGTGTTGGGGTAATCATGGCATCAGACAGCTTGAAGGCCGTTAAGCCAGTTCTAGGCACCTTGGTCACAAGGCGCTCGAAAGCGCAGGTCACCCGCAAGTAGTCTCTGGAAGAACCTGGATCCGACTCGACTCGCTGACTCAACGCTCTTTGCACGATTACTATTCGGTGAAGAGACGTGGGAAGTAGCTGAGATCTGGGAGGCTGTGCACAGTCTTGAGTCGAAGCCTTTCAAAGCCGAACTCACAGGCTGCTTGCGGGCTTCGCCACCATTGTCAGATACACCAGGCAGGAAGGACCTTGCGTGCCGTGCATTCAGCCCATGCCCATGAGTGCCAAAATGCCCACAAGTGCACGACTGTGCCAAGGCGGCCTGGGTCCGCAGAGCTTCCACAACCTATGCAGAGTCGAGCACAAAACTAGCCAACATAGCCAACTCGCCAGACATCGAAAGGCATAAAGCTCATTAGGAATCGGTCCAAGCAAAGGCCCTGCAATTCCTGAGCGTTCTGCAGGTGAAAGACAGTGGACGCTTTTCTGGCCGTCCTCTGCATGCACGAGGCTTCAGCTTCGCATTTGCAATCAAATTCCCGCGGACTGCCTCTGCAGCCAGGGCTGCATCCACGGCAGCTTCTAAAGCCTCAACGCCCAAAGGCATTGCTTGCCGCCACAACGTGGCGGACCTGCAAAACATCATGGATCCGACACACTGCATGTGCACGGGCAGTGTGGCAGCGGCGCCTGGAGTCTCTCCACTTCGCTCACAGTTCTCGTCTGATCGCAAAGAACCGTCAGTCGAAGAAAATTTCCATGTACTTTCGTGTATGGGCTCCCTTTCCACCGTGGCGTGCGACAGCTCGAAAGAGCATGCTCAACCTGAAACCGATGATGTGTTTTAGAAGTGCTGCAACATTTCTGACCTCATGAGCCTGCAAGAGCATGTGTGGCATCTTCTGTCACGTGCCACCCGCATGTACTTCATCGGTCCACTGAGCCCGACAGATGCAAAATCCGATGCACTCTCGGCTTTTCTCCGTTGCCGCTTGGACACGGACCAGCTAAGCAGGCCTCACACCAATCTAGTCGCTCGAAACGTTCTCTCACAAGTGAGACGGTTGTGGGGCACGGTTGGCCCTTACCTGCACTGGGGGCATAAACTGTGTTCTGCAGTACTGTCCAATTTCTGTTAAATGAGTGGCCAACACATCGAGTGACCACCGCAGCTCACAGCAGCTACACTGCTCTGTCCAACTCACCCACCCGATTCCAGCTGAATACCCATGGCTTGACATCCTGGAATTGGAGTTTGTATCAGTTGCGGGCGAGTTCCATGCAAACAGTGTGCGAAAGCTGGCCAGTTCAAGCGACCGCCAAGCCTGCTAGCACTGATGACATTGTACTGTGCAACTGGCACATGCTCTCACTGCTATTGGCTATTGCCTTCTTGGCAAGAGGCCACCCACACAGGTGGTGGCGGCTTTATGCTACCCGGGAGCAAGCGCTGCTCCCTTTCGCGCTACAGACTGCAACACCACAAACCGATAATTAAGCTAGCCCTGCAACTCGACGACATGTAATACATCCCACAGCTCATGCGAAGGTCGTTGGCAAGCCAAACCAGTCAACCGTTTTCAGCGACACACCCGTTGTTTCATCATCTGCTTCCTTCACGATCAAGGCCAGCCAAGCCTAGGCATATTGAGATCGCGGGTACATTTTGTAGCAGAACAACGGCTGTACCCAGCAGGCAAGAAAGTGCGGCACCACCTTTTGGATGAGAAAAGTCTTGGCTTGGATGGCTGCACCAAGGACTGTCACTCCGAGGCTCGTGATACCCACACGAGCCATTGAAGCTGTGGTTGTCTTGTCTGATCTTGTCTTTGAACATGTCGCATGACAACCCCAGCACGGCGCAAATTATCCATGGCGCTTGGCACCAGGACAACCAAGGAAACAGGCAAGACTGTACAGTATAGCATTGCTAACCTCAACCATACTCGAATTTCAATTGTCAATCGTGCAGAGATTGGTGAAACGGGCTGATCACCAAGTGGACTGGAATACCGACTCACAAGCGCGAAGCTCGTGCACGACTGTAGTCTTTGTTCAGTGCCAGCGGCGCTTGAAGACAGTCGAAAATGCTTGAGAAGAACTTGTGTATGGAAGCAACTCCGAGAATTTTTCAAGTTGGCTCAAGAATGCTCCCTTTTGGCGTAACCAGGGGCTCGATCACTTCCTGCAGACGACACAGACTCTGGAACTTTCAGAAGTAGAAACCAAACCACATTCCAAGCGTTGTGCTGCTGGGGCGGCTACCATGGTGCGATGGTCTTTGCGTTGCTGCTGGCTTGGCATGATTTTTGATGGCAGGCTGGACAGTTATGGCCCATGGCCTTTGGATTTCCATTAGGGCTTTCCCAATCCCACTGACAAGAGCAAGTCCTGCATCATGTCCAATTGATCGTGAAGCTGCCCTCCGTCTGCCTCCAGATCTGCACAGCTATCTTAAAGATTGTCCATTTGCATCTCACAACGGAATGCCTCCTTCGGGTACCATTCCAAGCCAGTGCCTTCATTCTCAATCTTCGGGGCACTGGTAAAAGTCATGGGCGGTGGCGCTCCATGTCTGCCTGAGCTCAGCGTCCCAACAAGCATGCACAAGCGCACAGAAAGACAGATAGACAGATATTGATCATGGCATTATACTGTCTATTCTATTCTATTCTATATTCCATTCAAAGTCGCGTTGTTCTATTAGTTTCGTCTATTGCGTACGATACTATACCATGTACTATGTACTATATTCTATACACTGTATGCTATATGCTATATACTATGTACTGTATACTGTATACTATATACTATACACTTGTCACTATACATTGTATAAACTACACTATACTATACTTTACCATGCTATGCTGCGCTATAGAATATCATGTCAATATTTCACACAGTGTTGTTTTGTAGTTGTGCAAAAGGATATCATCGTATACTGTATGATGCTTTACTGTATTTCTTCTATTCCGTGTTGTAATGAAACTCACTTGTTACATAATCTTATCAGGTACTACAATTTTCTACGGTATACTAGATTACGTCACATTGCATCTCTGATTTTCTGTTTTACTTCATTAACACCATACGACAATATATTACGTTATGTTACACTGCACCACATTGAACTTTGTACTAGGTTACGTTGCACTGTATTATAGTGAGATGTACTACTACATGATTCCACGATACTGTTTTCAATGTCGTTATCACATGTTACTCAGTGCATTATACCAAATAATGTTAGGTTATTCTATCTTATAGTGTTTCTATACGTTTCATACTTTATCAAAGATCTTGCTATGTTTAAACCGGTTTGTACTGGGAGGCCCGCAACTCGACGAAGCTACCAAAGCTGCGAAAACCCTGTGCTTAAGCAGCGAAGCCGCGAAGCTGCGAACCCCACCGACTAATTCAAATGGAGCCTTGTTCAGGTGTCGGGACCTACACCTGTGCCAGGACTGGCGCTCTGCCCGCCTTAGCGCGTGTTTACCAAGCGCTCCTCATAACTGAGTGAGCCCACGTTGAATGTATTAACATGTGTATTAGATGTTGTTGTATCTTACTTGGTTAAATTACATAAATGTTGTATATTGTTTTCTATCGTGTTTCTCGAACTGCATTCATTGCCTTGTTTATTGATGTGTACTGTATTGTTTTGATTTGCAATGAAATGTATTGTATTGTATTGCGTTCAAATCTGTTAACTGCCCTACAATATACGATGTAGTTTTATGTAGACTGCGTGATACTGTATTGTGTTGTAATGTAGTACACGCATCCCATACAGTATGGTTTTTTGTACCAGATTGTACTACATTGAATCAACTTGTCTTATGTGAACATGTTGTGGCGAGGTGACTATGGCATACTCTGGCCAACCAGCTCAGAGAAAGGACAGCGATCCGAACATGCAGTCAGTTAAGGCTGAGGGCTAGGGCTGCTCTGATACCTATGCCCAGCTCCACCCTGAGAAAGCAAAGTGCACGACCGGCGTACTGTGCTGCAGCTACACGTGGGAAGCCCTGCTCACTAGCTGCACGAAAGGAGGGAGTCGTCAGTAAAGCACGCAGGCTCCGAGTCGAAGAACAAGACGTCTAACTCTAACCAAAGATCAGTCTGGAGGAACAGAAACGTGTAGCCAGAGCTGCTTCAGTTAACGCAGCACGGCTGCCATGCCGCATCGTATGGTATTATACCATATGGAATATGAACCTATACCCTGTTGAACAGGTTCTTGTCACAGTACGACACTGTAGTACTGCACACTTGTGTGTTCATTACATTGTTTTCTATCAGAGACCACGGGTTTACCGTTTGCTATATGTTATTATATAACAAAACAGGCTGTGCTTCTATAACGTTTGTGTATCGTGTGTTTGATGTTGTTTATGTTGCATGCTTATGTTTCTTTTCCAAACTGTGTCATACCAAAAGAAGGTAGTTCATGCTGTACTTCTGTAGTATGCTTTATCATAAGTTTATATTCTATCATGCAATGTTAACTACACTGTTTTAACAACCTTGTAGAATAGTGGCTTACCTTGTGGTGTTTCATATTATACCATATTGTAAGCATCATTCTACTACCAATAATATCATGTCCAATATCATGTGTTATCATAGTATATTGCCTTGTATTACACATACCATGTCATACTTGTCTCATATCATGTCAGTATCAGATCAGACCATATCATATCATATCTAGCCATACCGTGACATATCACATCGTACCATCTCAGTAAACGTATCATATCACAATTCTATACTAACCTGTTGCATTGTTACAGAGCAGTATGTAGACAAATATACATCGTTTATTCTATATTAGCTATGTAATTATCGTTTATCATATATCAACTATGTAAGTATCCATACGAGTAATAGAGCTCCAGACTGGAAATCTGGCGTTGCGGTGCACTCGGCATTATGAGGCACGAAGCCAGGGTTGCAAGACCACCTAGCCTGCGCCTTTCCCACAGCTCCATTTCAAGCTCTATCTCGAAACCGCCAACTCATGGAGACTTCTTGCAGCAGCTTCTATGCAAAGCTGACCGGGGACCCACTTACCGTTGGGCTACAAGGTAGCAGGGCTGTGCTTCTTGCAACCCTGGGCTTAATTGCAAGCATGTGTCTTGCATCAGATAACGAGTGCGGCCCAAACGGAAGCGCCAGGTCCGTTGCATGCCCCATCCAGTACCCGATTTTGCTGTAATGTGCCATGTGGGCCCATGTGCACCGCTCAGCCCACCATCCTACCGAGGCTCTTCAACGACGTTGTGTGCACCAACTGCAGTTTTGTGCTGCTCAGTGCCCACCCGCCACCCCACACCTCAGCCATTAGCGACTGCTTCCTAGATGTTCTCCGAACAGTTCGCGAGCCAAACGAGAAGCCCCCGCATCATGTACATAATTACAAACTTCCACCAAACAGGCACCAGCTGCACTTTCTCCGGGCTTCGAAAATAACCTTTGCAAGCTCCTGTGCCGGGTTAAAACAGTGTCATGCAGAAGCTTCTGCATTCTTACAGGTAGTGCGTTCCGCTTGCAGTCCTTGCTTCTCGGCACGTGCGTCGGATAGGGAGGCATTATGGGGCA